CGTGTTTCTGTGTCCCCACCCATGTAGAAGTCAGGCGACAACTTTCAGGAATTTCCTCTTCCACTACGTGAGATCCAGAGTTTAAACTCAAGTTGTCAGGCTTGGCAACAATTGTCTTTACCTACTAAATAATCTCACCAGCTTCAGAGTCATTGCTTTTAAATAAAATGTGATAGATACTGCCCCCCAAACTAACGTTATGACACAGTACCTATGTCAGGAATCAGTACATGGTAGGAAGATGACCCAGATTAATAAACCACCTATACCCATACAGAAACCAAAATAAATCATCCTCACCTCCAAAACATGTTAAAGAAAGAGAACACAGTACAAATTCTACTATGCCTGCATATTGCAAATTCTATATGTACTTAACCTCTTAGGTAGATTTCTTATTCTGTTTAGAATAAAATGCAACTTCTTCAAAGTGGTCTCTTTCTCCTGGCCCTGCTAACGTGGTCCCACTTTTTACCTTCCTCCTACACCCACACACCATGCTCTACCCCTAAGTGGCCTTCTTGCAGTTTCTTGGTACGTCAGGTTGTGCCCACTGTATGGCATTTACACAGTGGCTCCAGCTAGAAATCCCCTCACATCCCAGATGTTTGCACCCCTGACTGTTTTCATTTCATGTGGCCTACATATCAAATTCATCTCTAAAATAGTATATATTGAATAGATACTCTGAATATATATTGTATAGTTATTTGAACATTTTAGTTGTCTTTCCTCCCCATGCTAACATCCACCCTCTGTGAGACTAGGAACTCTGCATATCTTATTCACTGCTGAGTATCCACTTTCTCTCTCTCTCTGACCCATAAAAGCAATTAATTAATATTGGTTCAGGGAATAAATATATGCGTCTGCCATCAACAGTTGCAACCTATATACTAGGTGCTGGAAACTGATGGACAGAACAAGGCACGATGTCATTAGAGTTGGGGTAAGACACATGAGCCAGAAAAGAGGATGCACAGATGCAGAAAGAGAATCACAAACCTCACACGGACAGGTTAAAGGAAGTTCCCATTACCCATAGTGCTGTAAGGAGACCCTGCAGGGGAGAGATTTAGTGCTGGGAGCCTCAGTAGAATTCAGTAGCTACATCATGTGGTGGACTATACAATATCTAGGTTCATTAGAATCTAGCCACATGGACGGATCTTACTACACTACAAACTAGAAAGTGACCAAGATTAGAATGATGGATCATCCACATTTCCATTCATGTAAGTTAACAAAACAAAAACATAAAGAAGAATGCACATTTGACAACACAACATGCAGAAGTATAGTCATTAAATGCATTTGAATTGTTTTCTGTGGGGAGATGAAATGGCATTAGGGAAAGGAAAGAAAGGAAAGCAACCAAGTGAAAGTGAGAGCAGGCTTGTGAAGATCAATGACAAAGATGATCTGCAAAGCAAGAGCTAGGTACCACTCAGCCCTCCTCACTCAACTACTACAGGAGAAGGATTGGGGGTGGGGTCAGGAGGCAGACTTGCTAATGCATACTTGTAATCCCAGCTACTCAGGAAACTGAGGCAGGAGAATTGTAAGTGGCCAGTTCGAGAAACTCTGAGTGATTTAGAGAGACCCTATCTCAAATTAAGTTTTTTAAAGGGGTGGGGGTAATGCTGGAGATGTGGCTCAATGCTAGAACACTTGCCTACCATGTACAAAGCCCAGTACACAAAAGGAAAACATGGGAAATTCCTATTCTGATTCTGGTCCATTTGTACAGAGCACTGGAATTCATACAGAGAAGTTGGAACTAGCCCTATAGAACTATAGTGATTTACCATGAGAAGAGCCTGGTTTGGAGGGCTGCTACCCAAGGCAATGAAGAAGTTTGTAGAATCAATCTGAACCCATCTTCCAACCTGAAGCCATGCCAGTCAATTCTAAGCTGAACTCAACAAAATCGTAGCTAAACTGCAGACCTGCAAACAAGAAAATGAATATTTGCTTTTGCCAGCCACTGAGACTTTGATGATCCTCCTTCTATAGTCAAAATAAAACACTACAGGACTCTCATTTCTGTATAACTCTTCACATATCTTCTATTCTTTTAGGCAAGAGCTATAGCTTTTCAGTTAAGAACCATTCTCTCGCCAAACAACAAAGCTTCGTTTTATAAAAGATTTCAATACTGGTGTAAGAGCTTTCTTTATGCATGAAACAATCAGGACTCTTCTCACACATGGAGATGTAGCTCTGCTCTGTCCACTGAAGTCACTCATTACCTGGTAATAGGCCTATGTTTTCCACTGTGAAAAATTCAAATCAAAAAGTTAAAATTAATACATGTCATAGACATTCTGGTCAGGCAGTCAGCCAGAAACTTATTCTACCAATCAGCCTATTTGGTCAAACTATAACCACTACAAGTATTTAGAATAGTAAAAACTTCACTATAGAAAAATAGAGACTTGCCTAACCATTGGAAGTCTGCATGGGGCAAAGGGCAGGAAGATTGTGCTCAGGAAAACTAGGGGTGAGAGATTCCCAGAGAAACTACTACCAAAACTTGGGCTTCCTACAGCATCAAACACGTGATCCTTATAGGACGCTCAAGTCACGGGTGAAACCCCACTGGAATGTACTGTGTTCACAGGTCTGCTCACAGGCATTGCTA